GCCGAGTCACATGAACGACTCGCCGAGTCGCCGCCATGCATACATTAAATACACCGATTTGTTCGATTTCAGTTCATGCCATTCATAGATCTGGGCTTCTAAGACACGAATCACACGTAAAGTTTCCAACTTTACGTGTGGATATTCACCAATATGGATTTTAGGGTTCAAAATGCTTCAAAAGGGTAGATCTAGGATGAACAAGCCACATGGGTCCATAAAGTTAATAGATCTGAGCTCCTGGAGCTCAATCTTGCCTAGATCTAAAGGCCAATCCACTTATTACGAAACATTATGCACATGCAAGCTTGGGGAATTGCTCAAGAGTGTCTTAAATGAAATCTTAAGCATAGAAACAGGGGGAAAACGAGATATACCTCAATGAAACAGCTGAAAAACACAATGATGCTTGGATGGCTCTCCTTCCTCTTGATCTTCTTCCCCTTCTTACCTCAAAACCTTTAAGAATACACACAAGAGCCTCAAACTCACAAGAAACAAGCTTAGGACGAGGGTTGGGAACTCTGGGGGTGAATGGGGGCTGGAAAGGGACGGATATGAGGTTTAAATAGGGTGCAAACCCCTGAAACTTAGGGTTTCATCCAACAGCAGTGACTCGCCGAGTCCATGATATGGACTCACCGAGTCGCCAACTTAAACGTGTCCTGAGTCTCGTCCCTACTCGGCGAGTCAGACCTATGACTCGCCGAGTCCAAGGCTAAAATGGGAAATACTCAAATAAGATTTACATACCAGGAACCAGGTGCTACAAATCTCCCCCACTTATTTTAGACTTCGTCCTCGAAGTCTGTTGCTCGATCCTGAAACAGCTCGGGGTAATGCGCCATCATCTCGTCCATCGGCTCCCAAGTCCATTCCGAACCCTTGCGGTGCTGCCATTGCACCTTCACTAGTTCTACCCTCTTGTTCCTCAAATCCTTCGACTTCCTGTCGAGTATTGCGATTGGTCGCTCAATGTAATTCAAGCTGTCATCAACCTGAATATCCTCCAACGGTACTACCGCTGAATCGTCCACTAGACACTTCTGCAGCTGAGAAACATGGAAAGTGCTGTGGATCTGACTGAGCTCGGCTGGCAGATCCAGCCTATACGCCACCTTGCCCACCCGGGCTACAACCCTGAACGGTCCGATGAATTTTGGGCCCAACTTGCCCCGCTTCCTGAATCGAATGACGCCTTTCCAAGGCGACACTTTCAGGAGAACCATATCCCCGACTTGGAACTCCAAGTCGGATCGACGCTTGTTGGCATAACTTTTCTGCCGACTCTGAGCAGTCTGAAGTCTGCTCCGAACCTGCTGGAACCTCTCGGTCGTCTCGAGCACCACCTCGGTGCTTCCCATGACTCTCTGGCCAACTTCACCCCAACATATTGGGGTTCTGCACCTCTGCCCGTACAACATCTCGAAAAGTGGTCGGTCAATACTCGCGTGGTAGCTGTTGTTGTATGAGAACTCAACCAAGGGAAGACAGGTATCCCAGCTACCACCGAAATCTAACACACATGCCCGCAACATATCCTCCAAAGTTTGGATGGTCCGCTCGCTCTGGCCATCCGTCTGGGGGTGAAAGGCGGTGCCAAAATGCAAACGAGTGCCCAACTCGTCATGAAATCTCTTCCAAAACCTGGAAGTAAAACGCATGTCCCTGTCCGAGATCACCGATACCGGCACCCCGTGCCGCGCCACGATCTCCCTGATATAGATGTCGGCCAATTTCTCGACCGATATGCTCTCCTGGATCGGAATAAAGTGAGCACTCTTGGTCAATCGATCCACGATGACTTAAATCGAATCCACTCCACGCGAGGTCCTGGGAAGCTTCGTAATAAAGTCCATCGTGATATCTTCCCATTTCCACAGTGGAATATCCAACGGCTGCATCTTTCCATGCAGTCTCTGATGTTCGGCCTTGACCTTCCTGCAGGTCAAGCACCGCTCAACGTACCAAGCCACATCCCGCTTCATACAGGGCCACCAATAATCCAGACGAAGATCCCCATACATCTTCGTTGCCCCGGGATGAATAGAGAATCGGGACTTATGTGCCTCCTCCATCAAAACCTGGCACTCGCCTCCGTGATACGGCACCCACACCCTACGGTGTAGTGTCAATAGTCCTCGGCTATCATAATAAAAGGAGGACACCTGACCCACCACGCGCTCGCTCTTCCGATGCTCCTCCTTAATAGCCTCCTGTTGAGCCTCCTCGAATTCGCTCCAATAGAGGAGTCACTGCGGTCATCCTCATGCATACGTCCCTGATCGGAGCTGCCTTGCGGCTAAGCGCATCGGCCACCACGTTGGCCTTCCCCGGGTGGTAAAGGATCTCGCAATCATAATCCTTCACCACATCCAACCACCGACGCTGCCTCATGTTCAGATTTGGCTGGTCCATGAGATACCTCAGACTCTTGTGGTCCGTGTAGATGGTACAACGAACCCCGTAGAGGTAATGTCGCCAAATCTTGAGGGCGAAGACCACAACCCCCAACTCCAAATCATACGTCGGGTAGTTCGCCTTGTGAGGCTTGAGCTGCCTCGAAGCGTAGGCAATGACATGCCCTCTCTGCATCAGAACTGCGCCCAACCCCGAAATGGATGCATCACAGTAAACCACAAAATCCTCCACGCCCTCTGGCAGGGCTAAGATCGACGCCTCGCACAACCTCTGTCTCAGTGTCTCGAATGCAGCCTGCTGCTCGGGTCCCCACCGAAAGACCACGGCTTTCTTCGTCAGCCGCGTCAGGGGTACGGCTATCTTGGAGAAATCCTGGATAAATCTCCGATAGTAACCCGCTAATCCCAGGAAACTCCGAATCTCAAATGGAGACTTCGGAACCTCCCATCTCATCACGGCCTCGACCTTGGCCGGATCGACCAGAATCCCGTTCTGGTTGACGAGGTACCCAAGAAATTGCACCTCACGCAACCAGAACTCACACTTGGAGAACTTGGCATACAAGCTCTCCCTCCTCAGGGCCTCCAACACCTCTCTTAGATGCTTCTCGTGCTCCTCCTGAGTCTTGGAATAAACCAAGATGTCATCGATAAAGACTATTACAGACCGATCCAGCATCGGTCTGCAAACGCGATTCATGAGATCCATGAACGCGGCAGGAGCATTGGTGAGCCCAAACGGCATCACCACAAACTCATAGTGGCCATAACGTGTCCGAAACGCGGTCTTCTGCGTATCCTCCTCCCTTAATCTCATCTGATGATAACCCGAACGCAAGTCAATCTTGGAGAACCAAGATGCTCCCTGAAGCTGGTCAAAAAGGTCATCAATCCTCGGGAGTGGGTAACGGTTCTTCACCGTCACCTTGTTCAGCTCCCGATAATCTATACACATCCGATGCGACCCATCCTTCTTCTTCACAAATAGGATCGGGGCTCCCCAAGGCAAACTGCTCGGACGAATGAATCCCTTGTCTAGCAGCTCCTACAGCTGCGTAGACAACTCCTGCATCTCGGGAGGAGCCAATCGATACGGTGCTTTGGCTATCGGACCCGCAACGGGGATAAGGTCAATCCTGAACTCCACCTGTCGCTCCGGAGGTATCCCAGGTAGCTCCCCCGGGAAAACATCTACAAAATCTCGAACCACCGGAACCTCGCTCACTGTCGCTTTTCCCGCCTCTCGGGTATCCGTCACATACGCGACATATCCTGCGCATCCCTGCTGACGATAGCGCCTAGCCCTCGCTGCTGAACACACAGTGGGTCCACACTGCGGCCTTTCGCCATGAATCACTAACTCTCCCCCGCTCGGGGTCCTGACTTGCACTAGCTGCTGCGTGCAGTCTATCACCGCCCCATTAGGGCTCAACCAATCCATGCCAATAATCACCTTGTTCCCACGCAATGGAATGGAAACCAAGTCCACCAGGTAACGCTACTCAAACAGTCGCAGAACGCAATCTCGAAACACCACCGATGCTCGCACCGATCGATCATCAGCAATCTCTACCTCTAACGGGCAATCTAACTCGCCTGAAGTCTCATGAAACCTCTTGCTAAGTGCAAGAGAAACGAACGATCGGGATGCACCCGAGTCGAACAATACCTGAACTGGGATGCCGTTCACATGGAACGATCCTAATGCATATATACACACACGGAGTACTAATCAATATCATAACATCACAAAACAAAAGATAGAAGGAAAGAATCATACCCGTCACTACATCGGGCGCGGTGCGTGCCTCCTCGGTAGTCAGCTGGAATGCTCGGCTCCTCACCACTGGAGCCTCTGCCTTGCCCTGTCGGCCATCCGTGATCCGCAGGCTCGCTGGAGCTGGCGCCTTCACCGACGCTGAAGCTATCAACTAGGGGCAATTGGCCTTCTTGTGGCCCCTCTGGTTGTAGTGGAAACACAGCAAATCCGATGTCTGAATAACTGCTGCAGGAGCAGTGCAATCCCTGCTGATGTGCCCAAACTTTCCGCACTTGTAGCAGCCTGATGATCCCATCCTGCACGCCCCCTCGTGTGCCTTGCCACATTTCCGGCAGCGTCCCTGTCCCTGTTGGCCTTTCGGCCCCATATCTAATCCCTTGGGCTTCTTTCCCGAAACCCCTCCTGTCTGTCCCTCCTCTAATTTCCGTTTCCGGATGTGCTCCAAATCTATCTCCCTCTCCCTAACATGCTCCCGGATGTCAGCTCGAAGCATATCGTGATAATGAGTCCTCCTCATATCCTCGTCACCAGCATATTGGGGCACCAACAAAGCCCTCTCCCGGAACTTGGCAGTGATCTCCGCCACAGTCTCCGTCGTCTGTCTCATATCCAGAAACTCCTTGGCCAACTGCTGAAGCTCGACAGCCGGTGCAAACTCCGCCCTGAACCTGGTCACAAATTTTACTGTGAAAACATAGAATATATAGAGTAACAATCGATGTAATTGATCCTCGATACAAATTTTACTGTGAAAACATACACAGACATCAAGATGTGCATATTTTGTGGTGAAAGAACCGATGGGTATCGAATATGAATGTGCTGGTGTGATTAAAGAAATTCTGAGCAATGTGAAGGATCTTGTCCTTGTTGATTGTGTAGCTCTTGAGCCTGGAATTAGCTGTTGGGGATGTACACAATGCAAAGAAGGCCGATATAATCTTCGCCCGGATATGAAATTTTTTGCCACTCCTCCCGTCCACGGATCTCTTGCCAATCAGGTAAAGTTTATACTTTTACATCATCATCGTCCCCAATAAGATGTTGAAATCCTAATTTTGATTATGGGTTCAATCAACAGGTGGTGCATCCAGTGGATTTATGTTTCAAATTGTGGGTATCCATCAGATTTAATAAACTTAGGATATGAAAGGATAAGTGGAATCCATACAGAAAGCCACGGGAAGTGGAGTGTATATGAGCTTTGATTGTGCAGGTTTCAACAAGACAATGACAATGGCTCTCACCGCCACACGTGCTGGCAACAAAGTGTGTCTGGTAGGGATGGGCCACCATGAGATGACGAGGTGTGAAGTTTACATCGAGATTTTTGAGAGAGAGAGAGAGAGAGACCCTTTTATATTATATAATTATTTTTAAAATAAGACAAAACTTCATAAATGGTCCCTGTGGTAGTGAAAAGATAGAAATACCCTTCACTTAACGGCCAAAATCTAACGGCGTTAGAGAAAAGGATCATTTGTTAAAAGTTTTGAAACCATAGGGACCATCTGTGAGGTTTTTTGAACTTAAGGACTAAACTTGATATTTTCGAAAACCACAGGGACCATTTTTGAAGTTTTGTCTAAAACTAATAAATACAACATAAACTAGTTACTAAACCCATTATTACTAAAAACTAAATCTCTGTTATCCAAATTGCGAGTTCCATAACCATACGATAGACTAATTATGGCAATAAGTAGTCCATCACCCTTTAAGACTTTCGTCACCCTTGAACCTTTCGGTTCGGCTGTAGCTAGCAGCCAGGTGTGGGGTAGTCAGCTCCGTATAGATCTATACACTCAAGTCACGCTCCCTATCTAAGAGATTCTGGTTACGGGGGCGGTCCTCCACTCGCGTATCTCTGTGGAGTGTTCTCCGAGGACGTGTCTCCAATTTATAGGTATAACAAATTTACTAGTAATAATACAGAAAGATCAAATGACTATCCTCCACTCGCATATCTCTGTGGAGTGTTACTGAGGACAAAACAATATTCTAAGTTAATGTTCAAAGTTCAATGTTATGCTTTTAACTGTTATGATGTGGGAAAATCCATTTGTGAAAATATAAAATACAACAATTTATAATGTTTTTCACAAATAAAATGATAGTGTGTTCTGCAAGTTCAATGGTTGTTTGTTATGACTGACAATTTTAAAAGCATATGAAATATTAAAATTAACATATGTAAAACCATTTTTGAGTACAAGTATCCCTTGTACTTTGCTTGTATTCCCCCCTAAAAACAGTGAAAACATTGAAAATGGGTAGGGGTATGAACTCACCAGACGAGAAAATGTGTCGGTTTGGATGCTATGTGTCGGTTCGGGGCTTAATAACGCGCGAGGTTCCTATGTAATATGAAATGATACACAATTGTACCTAATTAGACTTTGAACCACTAATTAGATATGAATATACACTTTGAGATGTGAAAACACTTCAATACAAGTGTTCGGAGTGACCCGAGTGACATCTATGGATGTGTAGGACCTAGATATGGAGTTTACTCTTCAAAAGTAAACTCTTTGAGGAGTTTACGGTCCATTGACCATATCCCCATGAGTTTACGGCCGTAAACTCATGGGTGGTGTGTTCTTGGATGCCAAAAAGTCTTACAATGCACACGAGAAAGTTCTAGGGTTGATTCCATGGCTTAGGAAGTGATCGGGACTTGAAACGGCCTTGGAAATGGAGTTCACGGTCTATGAAGATATTCTTGGGGAGTTTAATACCTTAAACACATGAGTTTGCAACCGTAAACTCATGTTTGTTCATGATTCATGGGTGTTGGTGGTTGTAGGTTAATCACATGTGGTTCTAGTCCAACATACAAGCCATTCAAGGTGTTAAGGACATTTAAAACACCCATTTGAAGAGTTTATGGTCTAGGAAGATGATTTTACGGTCTAAGAATGTTCTTGGACCGTAAACTATAGTTTATCCCATTTATGAAGGTTTTGATGCACTTCTTGAAGGGTTATAAGGTTATATGCACTCATGGAAGTTCATTGAAGGTGTTTAGGGGCAAACTAACACTCTAAAAGGTGTTTAAGGTCTAAGAACGAGGGTTTACGGTCTAAGAATGTTCTTGGACCGTAAACTCATGTTTGTTCCTTTCTTGTATGATTTGGTGCTTCAAGTGATGGAGTAGAAGGTCCTAGATACGTTTGAAAGCTTTTGGTGGTGTTTAAGGGTATTTTTAACACCTTAAGAGGTGTTTATGGTTCATGCATGGGGGTTTACAGTCCAAGAATGTTCTTGGGCCGTTAACTCATGTTCATACATCAAATGTCATGATTTTGGGGTCCTTAGTTCATGCATGCAAGTTTCTAAGTCGAATCTAAGCCTTAAATGCGGTTTGGAAGGGTTTTTTTGGCACAAAACCCTCATAAGAGGTGTTCACGGTTTTGGGAGGGTCCCCAAACCGTAAACACATGTTCACATGTGTTTTGGGTGATTTCAACATGGATTTGCATGCTATTCAAGTTTAACAACAAGTTTAGGATGGATTGCTTACTAAATGATGCTTGAAATGGGGTTTTTGGACTAATTTTGAGTTCTAGAGAGAGAGTAGTGAGAGAAAGTGTTTAGAGAGAGAAAAAAATCTTCAAAATGATGTCGCTCAATCCCTTATATAGCGGTTGAGTTTGTGGCCTGGTGGAATTCTACCTGATACTACCGTTAGACGGTGCTTTTGGTCGTACCCGATAATTTGACGTAATCATGACTTAGATGAAAATTATAATTTTCCAAACAATTATGGAAAATATTTTAATGTTTATAACGCATCCCGACACTTACGAAACTGAAATAAAAGTCGCGATTAAATTAAGTTAACTCAAAGGTTAACGGGACAATATGAATACGAACGGTTTTATTTAACGGGAATGGTTTTTCTGACGGAATAAATTATGTTGTCACACAACATATCAATAACTACTAGGATATCAAATCCAATGGGCCGGCATTGGTGCCTTAGACCCCTTAGTATAGTGAGGACAACTCACCTGGCACTGCTGAAGACCCGCAGATAAAACTCTAACTTCTGGTTAACAGATTCCAGAACTACTAACATTAAACAATACCCAATTAATAATTGGGTTCCAATACCATAACCTTAATACACATATGGGGTAAAATGACCATTCTACCCCTAGACCCGTATGATCCAAAACTAAGGCCTAAACCCAAAACAAAAGCCCAACATTATAATGTCCATAAATCCATCAGTGGCCCAATTTTCCAAATTAGGCCCAAACCTCCATATGGGTCTTGTCTAAAAGCCCAATAATTTCTCTAGTCCATAATCTTGTTTCCAGTTGGCCCACAAAGGCCGACAACAACCCAGTCCAAGAATTGGTCAAACCGAGGCCAACAAAAGTGAATTCCATTTCTATATTTGGCCCAACAACTAGTAAATATAGGCCCAAAACCATTAGGGCCCAAAGGTCCAAAGTCCGCTAAGGCCCAAGTCTTCCTGAGAGCATACACCCAGCGTACCTCTTTTCTACGCTTTTCGTACTGGGCGAAGAGTTGTACGCACAATGGACAACATAGTACCCCCAATGTACTACATAGTACTCCCAGCGTACATACAACTTATCTCTAAAATCCATTAAGTGCTTAATACATGAAGACTTTACGTCCCAAACTCAGATCTAAGTCCCAAATAACGTCTAAATCCATAAAGTCATCGACTTGGTGACTTTGCATGCCCCAAACAAGCCCAAAATCCAAAAATGACATTTTACTTCCATGAAAGTGACCTTAACTTATGCATGCACCCATTAAGACCTTCAAGATGGCAACTTTCTGTCTTAGGGACTCAAATAGAACCAAGGGTGGCAACCCTAAGCCTAAATAATCATATTTGGTCTATAAAGCTTGATCCTTGGGACCAAAAGGAACCAAAAGCTCAACATAAGAGATCTAAGGAAATAACCACCAAGTTTAAGATTTTATACCTCCATCAAGCTGAGAATCAGTCCTAAAAGCCAGATCCATAAGCTCGTCCTTGATTCCTTTCTTTGCATCAAACTCCATCTTCTTGAAAATGGACCAAACACTCCAAAAATGGACTCCATAAGCTCAAAATGCCACCATGGATGATATATGACGATTTCTAGGGTTTTAGAGGGCCGAGGCTGAAGATATTAGGGTTAGACTATGGGATAAGGAGTTTAAATAGGGTCCAAGACCCTAAAATAGGGTTCTGATCTGATTTGCGTACGCCTAGCGTACACTAAAGAACATTCGCGATCATCCTGGTCAAGTACGCCCCGCGTACTCGGCTATGCCTGGAAACCAAGAAACTTCTGAATGCGATAACTTCTTCGTTATAAACCCGATTCCGGCGATCCTTATATCTACGAAAAGGTAATGAGAAGCCCCTCACTTCTATAAGATTTATTTAACCTGAAAAAAAAAACGAAATAAAATCCAAAATTCATAAAAGAAGTCTGAAATACTATATTCCCGTTTTATCCTTGACTCCAAAGTGTAAACTGAACTATTGGGTCACATACCTACATTACCCATATTCAAATGGGCCTAAATCTTACCTTTATAAAGGCACAAATCCTTATGATGACCGCTCTTCGGGCCACAACCTCGAATTAGAACTTTATTCGAAACAAGGCGTTACATGTGTAAGCTTCAAAAATGGTCCCTATGGTTCCGACAATTTTTTAGTTTTAATACGTCTTTCAACATCAAGACATAGACAATCCTTGAGGTTTTACTTTTATGAATAGTTGGTCCTTCGATTGATAAATCTATCTGTTAAGATTTTTTTTTTTTTTTTTTTTTTTTTTTTTTTTTTTTTTTTTGTAAATATGGTCATTTTATCTCTTGGGAGTAAGTGGATTCAAACCCCAAGTTTTTTTATCTTTATTTTATTAGTTTTTTTTTTCTTTAGCTAACATCTTGCCAGTGTCCGGCTAAAAAATGTTTGGTTGGTCGAAAAATAATAATCAAATTCATAAAAATATTTAATGTCAGTCGTATAAAAATTTCAAAAACAAGATACAAAACATCAACTAGTCAACCATACCTGATCCAAACTCTATGACCACTTATTAAATGATTCATGTGAGTAGATTTATTATTAAAGCATCCACAATGGTTCGTTTAATGGGAAAATTGAATGAGGTTGCAAGTTTAGGTGTCCTTGACATTCAATCTATATGGACATTGTAGAGCTTAATCAGTGCATTGAAGGAAAAAAAGTTATAAAATTATATTGATTGATGATAAAATAGAATAAAGTTATATTGATTGATGATAAAATAGAATCGTGGGTTGCAAACAACGATTCGATTGATGATGAAAAAAGAGAATTCTTGGTTCAGTTCTCCACCTTAACGACAGAAAAAAGGATTGATCAAATTTTATTGAGTCTGACTCATAGTGATCATTTCTCAAAGATTGGCTCTGGTTATCAAATGATTGAACAACCGGGAGCAATTTACTTACGATACTGAGTTGACATTCATAAAAAGTATCTAATGAATTATGAGTTCAATACATCCTTTTTAGGAGAAAGACGGATATTCCTTGCTCATTATCACACAATCACTTATTCACAAACTTTGTGTGGGGCTAATAGTTTTTTAAAAAGACGATGTGGTAATCTATTGAACTCAATAAAGTTCAATGTAATCCATACTGATTTTGATCTAATATCCAATATATTTCATAACTAATTATTTCATATTTCTTATTCGACGAAATTTTTTTTTTATCAAACTTCACATTTGGCATACAAATTTTGTATCTATCGATAGCGTGGCCAAAAGAACGAACATGTAAGAAATTACGTAGGCAACAATAAAAACCACATATAATATGTTAGTCCACTAGAAAAGTATCAACATGTTAGTTTGAGGTTGGCCTCACAACCAACGCTAAAGAAATGCCAACTCAATCCCCCAAAGGCGGCTCTTATATATGCTTCCGAAAGGTTAGAAATCTCAAACTCTTTGGTGAATGGTTGTATGGCACATAAATGCTTCAACCTATAGTTCTTCTGGTGCTTAAAACTATTGCCAAGTATAATAATTCGGTTCAACATACCATGTCTCCAGTTGGTCTTTAGGAGATTTTCAAATAGCGTTACTCGACAACGTGGCATGAAAAAAAGAATCGGGTTCACAGCTTCTCTCTGACACCACTCATTAACCGAAAGAACACAACAACCGAGTTCCTCAATAACTTTCAATTCTGTCAAAGAAATAATCGGATCGAAAACTTCAACATCTCCGATCCAATCCACTTCTTTTTTCATCAGGATCGCAAGGCTAAGCTGTAATTCAGAGGATTTAGATGATTCAATGCTTCCAATTCCGTAAATGACCATCTTTAACTTGTGTTCTGATTCCGTAACCCTATGGAAATGGAATGAAGCTTCAGAGTTACGGATTTGATTTAGAAAAGCAGCAAAGAATCCAGATTTCTTTAGTTTCGCAATAGAGATTTGCATCTTCTGCATCAACTTGTCTTCTCCTTCTGGTGTCGTTGTGAGGTTTGTAGGAGCCCAATGTGTTTGTTCTAGAGCTGTTTTCAGGTTTCTGTTAGAAGCTTCCATTGTGATGCATATACTAGTTTGCTATGTAATCAAAAATATCAGTAAAGAATCTGCAAGATGGAGATCAGAACTTGGTTACCATCATTTGTTAGAATAGGATCTGCAGTTATTTAGCAATTAGTTATATACCCTAACTTTTCAACAAATCGAATTAGCAATGTAACATCCTCATCAAATATTGATGTCAATACTGATACATATAATATAATGCCAAGGGATTGCGCTGTGCGTGGGTTCATATTCCGGATCACCAGGAAGCTAGCTTAATTAATTTCAATTTTATCAACAAAGCATAACAATAACGTTGCAAGTTTAAACAGATTTAACAAAATGAAAAGCACTATAAACAATTGAATCTTTTAACAAAATATAAAATACAAACAAGCAGCAAAACGGGTATACAAAATATAAAACACACACAATGACAATTATATCACAATCCCAACGAAACAAGAGCAAAAATCTAACCTAGGTCGATCGACCAGTGCCAAACGTGAAGCTTTCAGCAAACATCAAATCAGGACATGCGTGGACACAAAAGGTTCTCCTACCATGAATAAATAGAATTTTGTTATCAAAGAAGTTTGTACATAACAAAGATGAAATAAAGAATTATAAATAGAAAAAGATTAGGGTTTCTAGAGATACATAACAAAAGCCTTAAATAAAGGCCCGACATAATAACCTAATAGCTATGCTAGCCCAATATATGCTTACAGTTAATACTGATAGATATAATATACGATCGAGGCATTGCGCTGTGGATCCATGTTCACAAAGTGTATTAATCAATGTTTTAAAACGTGGGTATTTGGTTGACCCGGTATGATGATCGGTTCACGGGTCAAACGGTTGAACCGTCGGGTCAACCCGGTTTATGATCTTTTTTTTATTTTTATATATTTTTACTTTCATGCAAAATGCATAAACGTATAAAATCAATAATTTAATATCCACAAAGTTTAAATATTTAAAAACATTGAAAACCATTAAAGAAACCGCAAACGGTTCGTTGTTTTGGCGTTCGCTACTTGGTTCCAACTATCTAAACCCTACTAAAACGGGTCAATCCGGTTTTAACCGGTTCGACATAAACGCTTGAACCGCGGTTTAGAGGAAACCCGGCCGGTTCGTATTTTTATAAAAAAACGGTCTCAATTGACCTGCCTTCTACCCCGGGTCACGGTCCAACCGGTTGAAACTTTTAATGTTATATAGTATAAGGGTGTATTTTACACTTTTAAAATACTGGGTTGTTTAATTTTATAAATTACACTTTTAATTTAATATAAACCATATCATTATGGATTTATTTACTCTTTTTTAATTATACACTTAATTTAATAAAACCATAAGGGTGAGATTTGAACTTTTCAAGCAATCAAACTAGGGTTTTTAATTTTAACATTTTAAAATTAAACTTTTAAATAAAATTTAAATTCCAAAACTTGAGGGTAAGTTTTGAAACTTTTCAAAACAATTATGTTTAACTATCAAAAACACTAGGGTTTTGATTGTATTTAAAATTTTCAAAAATTAAAACTTTTTAATTTAAAATATTAAATATTAAAAAAATTGATTTAATAATTATCCAAAATTAAACAATTAATTTAAATTATTTAATCATGGAGTATATCTATTAAATTAAACAAATTAATTTAACCTAATCCCTTAAATCCTCTAAAAATTGAAATTATGGGATGGGATAATTCAAAATCTTTAATTACCAAATTTAAACACTTAAAAGATAATTACAAGATATGACATTATCCAAATCCCTAGAATTTAGGATCTAATCTTGGAGAGAAGGCCAATTTCGAAATTCAAGGGTTGGATAACCCTAGAATTCGAAATCTTGGAGGCTAAGAAAAGGGTTTGCGAAACCCTAAACAAATTTCGAAATTTAAGGCTCATGAACCCTAAATTCGAAAATCATACCTTCAAGGTTTATTGGCTATAAACCCAAATATGTCAAATTCATACTTTTGTATAGAAAACTAATTGAAAACAAAAACCAATGGTTCTGATACCACTGATGCATTTTATACAAACAATCCTATGTGTGCATGCACCCCTAGAGTTGGATCTATGTTATCACTATTAGTTATACAACATTATGAACCCATAAAGAAACCTATTATGCTTCTAGCGATTTCGAAAATCACAAACAAGGATGAAATACATACCTCTTGATGTTATCTTGTAATAACAACTTAAATCTTGAATCTTCTGGTCTTTGAAAGCAAGTACCACAAGTGTAGTACCTCTAATGGCTCACAAACAGCAAGAGAAAATGGAGAGGCAAGAGAGAGAGGGGAGGTATGAAATTCGGCTCTAGGAACCTAGATATCAAGTCATGGACGAATTTCATATGCCAAGGGGTGTTTATATAGGTGTAGAGATTAGGGTTTCAGTCTTTATCCTTATCTGATTAATTGTCCACCAAGCAGTCCAAAGGATAACCCTGGAAACCTTATCATGGACGAATTATAAGGCATTATCCCCTTGAATTCGTCCACCCTATCCCATAGGGAATCCATTGCCCTATTTTGCAACTATCACATAATTACAATATAGCCCCCCTAGTTTAGTTAACTTCTTTTAATTACAAAATTAATTCTTAATTAATTCTTGACCAATGTTAACTAAATAAATATGATTTATCCTTTAATATATTATTCATATAATATATTAATAAACCATAATAACCTTTTTCTCTATTATTTCTCTAGTTAAGTTGCTTTGGTGAAGGCAACCCAAAAGGACCATGCACAACCGGGTCAAGTACTTACCAAATATGGTTACAAGCTTAGACACTAATCCAACAGCTATAATACACAAATAACAGAAAGCATGTTGCTATTTCTTGCATTTAGAATTTTAGCTCATTATTAACAAACCTTGCACACTAACTGTTATGTTCACTTTATTGTTTTAGGGTTCAATTTATGAGAAAGTTGCCACATCATTTCTTTGAGATTGCAATTACTAAGTATGCTGCTAAATCCATTGATTTATTTACTTTTTTTTTTTTGCTATTTTATTGGGTTAAGAACCTTCGTTTATTATTTTCTTTTTCTAATTTTATAGACCATGAACCCCAGGTGTTATACGAAATGTATCAAATAATGTTACATAGCTACTTGTTCTGCATAAAATACCCCTCGCTGCCCTTATATCTGCCAAAGTCTAATCTCATTCTGTAATTGATGTTGGTCGAATGTGTTTGTTGTAGTAAACTGAATGGTAATTGCAACTATAAGTATATCACTATTAGGGACATCCTTCTGAAATAGTTTTGCAGTGCTTTATTGTATTTCTATTATCTGTCAGAAGTTATGGAAGATCTTAATTTGTAAATTATTAACTATTTTAACAAGGCTTCAATTTAATTGTGCGGGGAGAATAAAAGATGGATATTCTTTAACATGCTTATATTGGATTGTTGAGGTCAGATTATCACTTAAAATTCCATTTTTTGCATGCTAATATTGTGATTGCAGTTCAAAATTTGTACTAGGTTTCACATAATTCGAATAAGATTGATGTGTCAAATTTCTTCATAATTTAAGCTCATGTGTAACATTTTTCTTAATTGTATTGCTAATTTGAATGAAGATTACTATGTTGAAAATATTACTATAATAGGGTAGATTTTTGTTGTTAAAGAAATAATCATAAGTAGGTTTCTATAATAAGCTATCATATTCAGGTAGATTTTCAAACATATAATATCTAAGAAGGATAATGTTTTATAAAGTATAATGCCATGATTAGGTAGATTTTCTATAGATATCAGAGCCTTTAACCGGAAAAACGATATTGAAGGCTTACGACCCCCGCAAAGCGGGGAACACTTTTCTAGTTGACATTAAAATTATCACATCAATTACATAACTTTCTTGTGTCAACATCTACTTGCATTTGGTCGGTTCTGTAACTATTCGGTATAATTCTCTTTCAAAAAAAAAAAAAAAAAAAAAAAACTATTTAGTCTAATTAAAAATTTTCTAAATTTGTATAAAGATTAAAATTATATACCTTTATTTTTAAATATAAAATTTAATGCATTTTATGTATAAATTAAAAAAATTATGCAACAGAAAAAACAATATTCATCCTTTGTCTTTAATATGTACTTTGCGCTATATAAACAAATATTCTACTTTTGTATTTACTTATTATAGCTATATACATACAAATTAATTATTATTAGGACATTATAATATGAATATGGTACCGATAATAACAATTCGTTAACGGCTATTTCTTCAAAGGAATATATTCGTTGCCCTACGAAATGGTATGTAAACCCTAAATCCTAAACAATCTTAAACCCGAAAGCATGATCCAAAAAACCTAAAATAAACTATTCACTGATGCATTGAGTGTTCTTTGTAATATAACATGCTTTCGATTAAGCCTAATTTAAAAAACCGGAAACAGAACCGAAAAGCTTATTCGGTCCTAACTGGTTCCCGTATGGTTTTTCGACCCAAACGCTCATCCTTAAAACCAAAGTATACATCAAAGCTGACCAACAACCACGAACCAATACTAAATGTTGACTAGCCCTACCTTCATTTATTTCCATTAATGCATTTTAATTTCAATTTCTTTCTTATTAAGCCATTCTACTTTGAAAAATATATACAGTTATAACATTGTACTTTCAACTTTTTTCTTATTAAAGCATTATACTTAGAAATAAACCCAAATATATAAGTGGATATTGCTCTAATTGGATAAATACCCAAAACTTCAATGCTATAATATAAAGAAATGAAAGCCTATTATTGTACTAAACAGATAACGCAAGTACTATTCGTATCGGTCGCTTGGTGCGGGTAAACGGCTAGTCAATATTATTATTCTTTTTGAGCTTAATTGGATAAGTTTGAAATTCTTGGTATCCAACAGCTTCGCACTAGAACGAGTGGGATTTTTCCTTGGCCTCCACTAAACCGAGTCAAGCCTAACACTTCCATTTCAGGTAATTT